AGACTCTGTCAACTCTGAATTCTGAATATATATATATATTTCAGAGCTTATATCTCACAAGTTCATATCTAGCAAAAGTCAGAATTTTGAGATCATTTTTATTTTTGTTATTTTGTGGCAGAAAGAGGCTTCCTATCTGACACTGAGATCACAGAAACCTTTCAATCAGCCCCTGTCTGACCCGTCCTCCACGCCAGACCTCTATCTCAGTCCCCTCTGAATGTGAATCTCTGAATCACGAGGGGAAATGATCCCGACACCAGCAGCGCTCCATCACGATATTCACACATCCATAGAAACTCCACCCAAAACAGACATTTACATGCGTTATACCCACACCGAGAATTGCAACAACATTTCATACTTTTTGTTCTTTTGTTTACTTATATTTGAAGAGAATACATGTACACAGAGATGATCGGTGGACCTCGAGGGCAATGCTAACGTGAGTATGATAAGAAAAGCGTGAAGCGGACGACGAAAGCGGACTGACAGCAGGATAAAAAGCTTAAGAGACGAGAAAAAATCTGAAAAATCACCTGCTTTTGTGCTTGAAATCAAACCTCATACAGTGACGGAAAAAGTATTTTGACACTTAAAAGACATTTAAATGTCTTCATGTCAAAGAATTAGATTTCTCACTTTTCTAAGTCATTTTTGCAAGGTTACACTCAAAAAAATGCTGGGTTAAATACAACCCAGTGCTGGGTAAAATAGGGACAAACCCAGCAATTAGGCTGTTTTGACCCAGCGGTTGAGTTAAATGTTTAACCCAACCTTCTGGGTAGTAACCCAACCGCTGGGTCAAAACAACCCAATTGCTGGGTTTGTCCCTATTTTACCCAGCACTGGGTTGTATTTAACCCAGCATTTTTTAGAGTGTAGGGTTAGGTTATTTTTTAGCAGATGAATGATGTCCACATCTGTATTTTTTTTACCAAGGATATTATATTCAACTAAAACCATAAAAAAATCATTACCTGAATTAAAATATAAAAAATATTATTTCTTATTTTAATTTATTTTAATTTGATGTACTAAAATAACAAACTAAATTTTTTTATAAAAAAATACAAAAACAAAAAAATACTAAAACTTTAAAATGAAAACAGAAAATATGAAATAAAAACTAATTTAAGATCTTAATAAATCTCTAATAATATCTCAATGATAGCAGTATTAATTAACTAACGTTTTACAACCAGAAAGTGTTTAAATAGGCCTATTTTTACATTTCTATATCTATTGTTTCATCATTTCTAATGCAAAGTCAATCAGATATTTTTAAGTGTCATTTAAGCATCCAAATACTTTTTGTGGCCACTGTGTAGCCCACTTATACTAAGCAGTATGCAATATCTTTCATCAGTGCACAGCATACGAAATGCACGGTCTTCAGCATTCATTAATAACAGCATAGTGGCCCTCAGACTTTAAATAGGTTTGGGCTTTATTCCGGGGTTATTGCTGGTTGGAATGCAATAATGAAGCACATATTCAGGGAGAACATTATCGTATTAAGAGTATATACAGCATTAACATTGCAAACTGAACGGTCAGCGCTCATGCAGGGTCATTGTGAACGATTGCATAAAGCAGCGCAGCGGCCGCAGCGCGTTCAGTCGCGCACCGCTGCTTTACGTCAAAGCGTCTTCGCCGTGTGCTCTTAAGTGGCGGTTAATTAGCCTGTAGGGGATCGGACTCCACATCGGGCTCGAGACTCAAAGGCACATCTGTCCTTGAAGAGGATTCTGTCAGCGCCTGGACTGAGCTTGATTTATGAGCTCTGCCGCTCACCAGATGGGGGACGGAGAGAATATGACGCTCCGCTTGCTTAGCGAGTCGCAGTCGCTGGCTAATTACATCTTTATCTCCCGCTAATCTGATTCTGAACGGGAAAAAAAGAGGCGGCGCGTAGAATCAAGCACTGCGTTCCATTCGGCTCGGACGGTTGGATTTTCCAACAACCTGGAAAAGTGCAATCCAAGGCAACATCAAGTCAGACGTGCAATTTGGAAATTTGTGCAGAAATTCAGACACAGATGTACAGGATAAATAAAATGCACTGTGATGAAAACAAATCCCGTAGATATTGGGACAAAATTAAGAAGCCCCGCACATGACATGCAGACAATGAATTAAAAATGTGTTCCCTTGTTAAATAGTGACCACAAATTAAGAGTTTGCTCCCACGACTTAATTCGTTCCCACGTTTTATTAAATCATGTTGTACTAATTTGTAGCCTTGTTTTTATTTAATTAAATAATATAACGAATTAGTATGACATGGCCAGGATTTACTAAAATGAGGGAACGAAATTGTACATTGTGGCCACGATTTACTAAAAAAGGGAACAAATTAGTACGATGTGGCCACGATTGACTAAAACGAGGGAATGAATTAGTAGGACATGGCCACGATTGACTAAAACGAGGGAATGAATTAGTAGGACATGGCCACGATTTACTAAAACGAGGGAATTAATTAGTACGACATGTCCACGATTAACTTAATTGAGAAAATGAATTAGTACAACATGGGCATGTTTTACTAAAATGAGAGAACGAATTAGTACGACGTGCCCACGATTTACTAAAAAAAGGAACAAATTAGTACAATGTGGCCTAGATTTCCTAAAAAAAAAGGAACGAATTATTACGACATGGCCACAATTTACTAAAATGAGAGAACGAATTAGTATAATGTGGCCATGACTTAACGAGAGAACAAATTAATACAGCATGACCACAGTTTACTAAATGACTAAAACCAGGGAACAAATTAGTACGTGTCAACAATTTACTAAAAAAAGGAACGAATTGGTATGATGTGGTCACGATTTACTAAAACGAGGGAATGAATTAGTACGACATGGCCATGATTTACTAAAATGAGGGAACTAAATAGTATATTGTGGCCACGATTTACTAAAAAAAAGGAACGAATTGGTACGATGTGTCCACGATTTACTAAAACAAGGGAATTAATTAGTACGACGTAGCCACGATTAACTTAATTGAGAAAATGAATTAGTACGACATGGGCATGTTTTACTAAAATGAGAGAACGGATTAGTACGACGTGCCCACGATTTACTAAAAAAGGGAACAAATTAGTACAAATGTGGCCATGATTTACTAAAACGAGAGAACGAATTAGTACAACATGGCCACAATTTACTAAAATGAGAGAACGAATTAGTATGATGTGGCCATGACTTAACGAGAGAACAAATTAATACAGCATGACCACGATTTACTAAATGACTAAAACGAGGGAACAAATTAGTACAGTGTGGCCACGATTTACAAAAAAAGGGAACAAATTCTTAATTCGTGGCCATGATATATGCATTTTTTCTGCATGGCATGAGCAGGGCTTTGTACAAAATGTTTAGAAAATATGTATATAACACGCTGAATGCTCCTGTCTGTTAACCGCACACCTACAGAACTAATGCTAGCATTGCATAGCATCGCAATTTGGTTGCGAAAAGACTGTTTAAAAAAAAAAAACATTTTCTTTCCTTGTATGTCATTTTCCAAACATAATGCATGCAGTAAATGCATTTTTTGTTGCAACTTGATATCACAGGAATATCCAACAATCGTCTCTGAATGGAACGCAGATTCACACTAACACGACCGTTCGTAACCGCAGGATACTGAGGGATTTGGTTATGTCATCGAGGCAGACATGAGCATTACATCATTACTGCAGAATATATCATACATTACAGTCATCAACAGCATGGGGAAAAAATACAGTACACATTTGAAATGATATTAGGATGCCTACACGCTAGAGTTTACAATGCAAATGCACTGAGCTCAATGGGGATGGTGCATGATAAAGACGGTTGACAAATGCAACGGTTTGAAAAAGCAACACTGCACTTCGTACTGTATATTTGTACAATTTGTGTTTCTACGGTCATTTTCACATGCTCAAAACAGATCCGTCTAGCGTGTAAGTACCCTCACATTTCACTGATTGCTCTCTTTTACGGACGAGTTGAAATTTCTTCCATTTTAAAAAAGTTAATCATGGTAAAACAGAGCATGATACTTCAAAAAGTTTTTTTTTCTTTTTGCCGTTCGATGAATTCAGTGATTTTTAGTACAAAATATTTTCACACACATGGCTTGCGATCAGCTCTGACGTTTTTTTCTCACATGGAATTACTATCATATTTATTCAAATACTTATTAACATTGTCATCATCATCATCATCCTTATAATCATTATTAACACCAAAAAAGCAATAGCAGTTAACCTTGCAGATTAAAATGTACACAGTGCAGGGGGTTAAACGGGGTCGGTGCAGGAAGTGAGGTCACAAGAGGGACATTTCTAACCGGTACATGCTATCCACAAGCAACAAGAAGTCAATGAACCGTTTCAGGCCAGGAGACGCCAGAAACTTCTGCTGCCTTCAAGTCTTTGTGGAAAGTTCCTACTTACGAGTTGCAACGACACTTTTGAATAATTCTGAAAAGTTGCACTCTTATGAGTCGCACTGATGCATTTAAATAATTATGAAAAGTTGCACTCTTACTTTTAATTTGCAATGATGCATTCAAATAATTCGGAAAAGTTGCACTCTTATGAGTTGCCGTGATGCATTTAAATAATCATGAAAAGTTGAACTCTTTACTAATGAGTTGCAATTATGCATTTAAATAATTCGGAAAAGTTGCACTCTTATGAGGTGCAATGATGCATTCAAATAATTTGGAAAAGTTGCACTCTTATGAGTTGCCGTGATGCATTTAAATAATTATGAAAAGTTGCACTCTTACTAATGAGTTGCAATGATGCATTCAAATAATTCGGAAAAGTTGCACTCTTTCGGACTTTTCTAAACTGTATTTGCATATTAAAAATGAGTTTTAGCGGATGAGTGACATCTACAGCTGTATATTTTTTTACGTTTATTTTATTAACCAACATTCGACAACCAAAAAGTGTCCAAATACTTTAATTTCCAACACTACATCTATTTTTTTTTATACTTTGCAACGAGTTTGAAAAGTAATTTAAAGCACTTCTCTTTTTTAACTTTCCGTCAAACACAAGAAAACAACACTAAATGTGTACAAACTAAACTTCTTACGATCAATACCAATGATTCTCGGCTAATAATGACATTTCGGTTGTAAATCTCGTAAATACGACCATTCCATTGTGACTTAAAGGCAGCAATATCCTCCGAGCCGAAAGGCTGAAACAGAGAGGCTGATGGGAAATGTAGTTTTTGCCGCTGGAATGAGGGGCCTCTACTGCATATATATTTACACTGAGTGTGAAGGACCGACGATCTGAGTGATGGACAGACTGAGGACAATATGAGGGCTGGACGCGGGTCAGATGTTTCCTTTGGGTCGAGAGCCCAAACGAACGCAAACGAGGGGCCGAGATGACACGGCCCTCCTCGCTAGAAAGAAAACATGTGGTTTGACATCATTCATAGTAGCTACGCACGTCAGAATGCACCACCGTTCAGCTCGGATCTCTGTGTCGGGATCCGACGGGCCCGCTGGGGAACAGCTTTGACCGGGTCACCCGGACATCGCAACCGTCATCGTCGACACGTCACTTAACAACCAGCATGTCCAGCACGCACATCAAGAGACACCCAACTGGCATTACACTTGTCGTTCACATCATTTGCATCACATTTCAGGTTTGGACGATAAAAGGTGACCATCGTTGGCGACGGGAGGGAGGAGTGAAGCGGTGATATACGACCGGGCGTGAATGGGAAGAGGAAGGAATGACCGAGTGATGTAGTGATGGCTCCTGGATTAATGCATAATTTCTTTTTGTTCACAGTGATGGGTTCGTATTTAAAGACTCCTTCCGAAGCGGGAAAGTTTTAGACCTTCATCAGAACAGAGATGGAGAGGCAGATCCACAGGCCGACTCCTGATAAACGGCCGTTCAGAGACGCCGCTCCGCCGTACACGGCCCCGGGCCCTAGAAGAACAGAGAGAAGCAGACGTGAATAGGGTGAATGAGAGAGAGAAAGCTGGTCAACATAGAAACCTTGTGCTAATGTGCTACATGTTAAGGCAATATGAAATCTCAATAGATTATTTATTTTCTAAATACACATTTCTGGTTTTATTGAGTACATATATATATATATATATATATATTGGCTGATGTTCAAAATTCAAGATAAGTCAGATTATGCAAGTTAAATGGATTGCAAACATTGTTTTCATTTACTTTAATTTAAAAGCATTTTGTAAACTTTGATAAATCTATGTATAGTGCATATAAACCATAATGCAAATTGTATTAACATAAAAAATAAATTCAAATAATTTTAACCAGAATTTAAATAAAGTTAAAATTGTTAAAAAGTTTAATTTTTTAATGGCTGATCTTTTTATTATAATTACATTTAAAATAAATGATAGTAAATAACTAATTAAAATGCAACAAGTAAAATACAGTAAAATGATAAAAAAAAAGAATGAATTGAAAATGTTTTTAATAATTTACTGTATCTTTCATGAAAAGTAGCTAGAATAAACAGTATGGTTATTTATATGGTATAACGCATATAAAGCTTATAAAATACACTACATGTATATAAAATAACTAAAAAGTTTATATTTTAATGATTTATTTTTTATTATTATTAAAATTAAAAATGAACTATAAAAATAAAATGCAACAAGCAAAATAAATCAAAATGATAAAATAATGAATTTAAAATATTTTTTAAATACACATTTCTGGTTTTATTGAGTACATTTACTGATTGCACTGGTGTTTTTTTTCCTTCAAATTGAACAACAACAACAACAACTTTCATTAATATTAATCTAATTTAATTTCATCATATTTTTAGCATTATATATATATATATATATATATATATATATATATCAATTATGTATTTATT